TTATAAGCTTACGACAGTTTGTATGTGCTCAGCCAATGGGCAGAAAACCTGGGAAGAATTTCTGGACTTTAGCCCACCAGTTTGTCTGGTTTGACTAACCTGCTGAGAGCTAAAACTGGCACCTGTTACCCCTGTGCCTTCAAGGCAGTCCAGTGGGGTAGAGTGTGCCACCCTCTGAATATCAGGCACTGTGTGGGAGTGGGTGATGCTCATGTGACTGGCTAGAGCTTCGGGGGTGGGGTGGGGATTAACTACTATTATTTTGGCCATGATCTCTTTCCCCTTCCTTTTTTTTTTAATTAAATAAATGGATCAAAATTAAATAATTCAAGCCCTGCCTTCAAAATGAAATTTTTTTTTTTTTAGTATTGTTTAGCAAAAACAATAAAACCCAAATTTTTTTAACCATCACTCATGTCTCGGGTTTGTACTGCTTTAAAGGCCCTGGAGGGAGAGTGTCTCAGGATGCATGTTTGGTATAACGTTTCCCTTTAGACTCTGCTTCCTATTCTTTACTCTCTCTCCTTCTACCCTTGAGAATTCATCCAGAAATACAGTACAAAGTGTGTAATTTAAGAAGGGGATCCAGGGTTGGGAGTTGTAGAGGAATAAAGGGGGTGAGTACATACGTATGACTATTTGTCACAGAACTGTTTGGAGGAGAAATGAGAGAAGACTGAGAAGTGTACTTTCATACTCACCTGCCATTGGTCAGAACTTGATTTGAAGTACGAAGCCTTTGATTTAGTCTGCATGGAAATGTAGACTTCTGGAGAAGGTAAAAGAGGGAGAAGAGAATAGACCTTTGCATGATCTAGAAAACTTAAGGAATGAGATTAAAAAAGTGAACGTGATTAATGGGAAATGGCAAGCCTGGAAAAAGGCTCTATGCCTCATGCCTCATGTCCCATGTCATCACTGCCCTCCCCCCCTCCCACCACAGCCCTAGTGTCTAGGTCTGTGAGTGGAAAACAGCGGTACCAACTGTTTCTGGTAAGAAGCAGTTTTGACTCTTTGTGAAACCATCCAGGGGAACTTTGAGCAGTTCAAAAGGTGCAGTTAATATGGTGGGAAAGACAGGCAGTATAGAAGGAAGAGCAAGTACTTCGGAGACATGAATAGTTGGCTTCAAATCCTCACGTCCATTTCCTCATTTGTGACTGGATAAGTCATTTTACCCATCTAAGCCTTAGTTTCTCTAACTGTACAACTAATGCAACTAAAAACACAGAACTAATATTCATCTAGAATTGGTGCAAAGTGTTAGGTAAGGCATTTTTTGTGGGCGGGGTTGGGGGGAGGTAATTAGATCTATTTATTTATTTTTAGAGGAGGTGCTGGGGATTGAACCGAGAACTTTGTGTGTGCTAAGCATGCACTCTACTGCTTCAGCTATACCGTCCCCCTAAATACTCCCCATTGATACTTAGAAGGTGCTCTGTGAATGTTAATGTAAATGTTAGCTTGGTCCTGGGATGATTAAATCTGGAGATGAGATTGGATTAGCTGATTTTCAGAGGCCCCAACTTTGTTTTAGAAGTCTTTGTTTAGATGGCATTTTAGTAAAACATGGCTAATAGTAAAACATTTGGGCAGGGGTAGGGGGCCTCAGAGCCCTGGCCTCTCAGCCTCTCACAAATCCCACCCCTACCTCTTCCCTGCAGTGTCTGAAGAATTTCTTTGATTGTAATTTGAAAACCACTCATTTCAGCGAAGGTGAGTGGGTTCTACCAGGGCTAAGTGATTTGAGAATACCGCCACTGCCTATGGTGGCAGAGCTGGAACAGACCCCAGGCTTTATCACTTGTGGGCTCCTAATGCTACCCTGTTGACTTTCTGAACTGTGGTGTGTGTGTTGCTCACTTGTGTGAGCCAGGTTTGGAGAGGAACACAGAGGAGACTGTTGAGAGTGGCAGAAATGGCCCCCCAGATTGAAAGAACATTAAACTGTTGAGTGTGGTACAGAGGGCTTGCATCTGTGGTGGAATGTGTACAGGCAGTTTTCTAATGTCTCCTTGATTTTGAGGCATTCTCTTTTTCTCCTCACACACACACCTTTACACCCTAGCACCCCATTACCTTCTTGCTACCACGTATGTGCCTTTGGGTTTACTGCTAGTTAGAGCATCCAGTCAGTGTGGTATAAACACCCTCACCATAGTGAGTTGATACTGAATCTGTGCTGTTTAAGTTTGAACAGCTCATTGCTGACTTTTGTTTTTGTTTTTGTATATTAGTTAAGAGGCTCCAGTCTGGGAACCACTGATTCAGGGTAAAGGCTCTTTGACATTTTTGAAGCTAAGAATGTATGTGTCAAAATCTGTTCTCCCATAGGACGTACTGATAAAGGAAGATGTAGAGGGCTTGCCTTCATACACAGAGATGGAATTTACTGTCCTGTTGGTATGGAAGATACTGAGAATGTGTAATGAGAACATATAATTCTAGAAGCTGCAGTGCACAGGATGAATGTTGGGACAAGAGTTTGGGAACTGGACTTGGTCACCTGGGTTGGAGGATGGTCATTGTTTACATGGTGGATTTGCTTTCCCATCACTGCTGGAGGCTGCTTTAAGTGCCTCCAGAGAATTCCCCTTTAAGAAACTTGAAATCATCAGCATGTGCTGCCTAAACTTAAGGGGTTTAACATTACAGCACAGAGTACCTTGCAGATGAAAAAGGGATGCTCTTGGGCTGCCATCCACTGGTGATAGACTGCTGCTGGGTAGTAAAGTTTCAAAATGAGTTTTGTTCTTTTATATTGTAAAAGCTTTACATGGATCATCACAAGAAAACTAGAAAATAAGGCAAACACTGTCCATTTACCACCCCCAAAACATTATTGACATCTTTCATGTCCTCTAGATTTTTACATGCTTCTTTCTGCCTCTTGCATTTCTGAAAATGCAACACACTTTACCATATCAAAAGAAACTTGCCAACTAGTTCTCTCACCCCTCTAGCCCACAAAGTGCACTCTATAATCTGTTGAGCATCTTAGAATATCTATATATGGTATGGGGGCTAGGTGATCTCAGATTACTTCTAACCTCAATAGTCTATCTTGTTCTATCTTCACCGTTTTATCCTACAATACCTTGCTTCAAAGCCACCTGTGAAGCCATTCTCGACAATGAAAATGGAAAGTGATTCCTACAGTTTGTTTATATCACTCATGCCATGTGGCGTGTATGACTTGCATTGTAGTTATTTGTTTAGGTTTATCTTTAATGGTCTAATGGGGAATTCTGAGGCTCTAAGGCAAGGATAATGTATTATTCCCTAGCACCCAGCTGTCGAGAGAAGACTAAAGGTAGAGTTTTGAAAATCTTCAGCTTAATAACTGGATAAGTTGCTTGAGCCAAGATGAAAAGTAGTCCAGGAAGACTGGGTTTTGAGGAAAGCTTGAAGTTAAGTTCGGACAAAAGATGAGAGAGTAAACATGTGGAAGGAGCTGGGGAGGAGGGTTACCTGGTTCCAGCTTGAAAAAAAGCAGGGCATTCCCCCCGGTTTCTCCAGAGCAGATTTTGGCAGCTGGGACCAAGGCAGATCAGATTGTGGCTTGCCTTCCTACCTGGCCTCCCTGTCCCATTTTCCCGTAATTTCCAATTTTGTTGAAAAGACTAGAAAACTAAATTCCTGAACTGACGAGGTGAGGGTAAGGCAATTCTGACTTCTCAACTAATCTCTCTCCCCTTTACCCCAGCTAATCCTAATGCTGACTCCAGCAGTTAGTCTTCTGTGGAGGGACAAACAAGTGGTGGCTTTCTGATCTGGCCTCGTTTCTGGTCTGTCCTAGCTTAAAGTAGTTGCTTATGCTTACCGT